GACCCAAATAATGGTGATGACGACCATGTTGACGGTCACAATGACGACGGCAATGACAACAACTCTAATGATCCTTATCATTATCAAGGTCATAACGGCAATGATGGCCATAACGGCAATGACGATGACAATAATGGCCACCTTCACGATTTTCACAACAGCAACGCTCACAACGTTCACAACAATGCTCACGCTTACAAAGGTAATGCTAATGCTGGTCAGAACGATCATTCTCACCAACGTAACGGTCACAACGGTCATCCTCACAAAGTTCACCCTCACGACGGTCACGCTCCCAGCGCTCACAAGAAGCAGTCATCATTCTCGTTGTCAAAGGGCAAAAGGCGCGCCATCGACGAAACTGACGCATCACGACCACGACGCAAGAACGCGTCGTCGCCATCGGAGGTGCTGAAGCAGTTGAAGGCGCCAATGTCCACCGCTTGTCACCCGCCCAGCAGAACGCGTCGTCGCCATCAGAGGTGCTGAAGCAGTTGAAGGCGCCAATGTCAACCGCTTGCCACCCGCCCAGCAGAACGCGTCGTCGCCATCAGAGGTGCTGAAGCAGTTGAAGGCGCCAATGTCCACCGCTTGCCACCCAACCCGCTCAGAGTTGTGGCACAAGCGGATGAAGCGGAGGATCTTCCGCACTGCAGCTGGATTGCCTCAGAGCGAGGAGCACCAAAAGCAGTGCGCAGATGATCATAACAGTCTTCCTAGGCCCAAGGGATACAACAATGAGAAAGCCAAGGCCTGGTTCCTGGCCATGCGCAAAGGTGCCAAGGTTGCGCAGAGCGCTGGAGGGGCTAGTTCTTGTGCTGTCAATCAGCAAAAGGCTGGTTTCAGCCTCAAGGCCTACAGAGAACAGCGCAGGCAGGCTGCAAAAGGGGGCAACCCAAAGCTGAGGAAGGAGTCCCACATCAACACAACTGCCTCAAGTGTCTTGTGCAACAGGGGGGTCCAGAAGCCAAGTTTTGCACCCTCAAAGAAGCAATCTATAGCGCTTCAGACTCACTGCAAAGCTGTCAACTTCCTTGCGCGCCTGGCATCGGCATTTCAGAAGTTCAACTAGGCTGTATCGTCTAATGAGTAGGCCAGGAAGATCAAGCCCCTCACCGCCCCAAAGCCTGGCTTGTTCGAAGAAGTCTGGCACAGAAAGCAAGGAAAGCGTGAGCGCACTAACTTTGTTTGCCTCATGAGCTCTTGTATATACTCTTGCTGTACCAAATCCCTAGCCTGCATGCCACACCCCCAAAAAGATTCATGATTCCAAATGTCCCAATAAAGCCCCTCAATGTGCCGTGCCGCGCCTGACATCAACTCTGCATGCACACGCTTGGATTTGGTCAGACAGACTTTGCAGAGCAAAGCTTTCTGGTTCATCAAATCATCCCAGCAAAGCAAAACAAAAGCTCTCCCTGTAACAAATAATACCTTGTGGCCCTTGATCACACCAGGAAATTGAGTTGACAATCAGCTCGTGATCCAGCCCAGGTCCACAAAGAATTTGCCACAAAACCATGCAACTGGGGTACACACAGCTGCTCATTACATCAAATTATCGGAGCCCGAGAGATGATGGTGGTATTGATCAGATATGTGCGACGGATTCACGTGGCGTTCACATATGCAAGGGTGCGCGCACGTGACACAAACATCCTGCTAGTCCTGTGCAATCTTGATGGGCCCACCTGAGCCCAAAAGCCCCCATCTTTTGGTAAGCTCGAAGCCGAGTCCTGAGGACAGGACTTTGTTGGGGCAAGCTGGACAAACAATTGGTGCGAGCTGGCTTGGGCCATGCCTCTGCTCTTCCTGCAGTTCCATGGTAACTTGAATGGCAAGTAACAGACTACGCTCGCAAAGGCCGCTCGCTCTCCACACCTCGCAAGCTGCTCAAGATCGATTGAACTGTCGTCGTCTACAACCCTAAATCTAAGAGGAAACCATTTCCCCAGACCAAACGCCTTCAAAAGGTAAAGGGAGACTTGACTTTTGGTGTGTATTTTAGAA